ATTTTACTCTCATAGATTAGGTAAAAAGTCGTTATAAAATATATGCGTCAATTGATATTTTTAAATGTAATCCGTTATCCACTTCTTCTAATGCAGTTTGTTTCCCTCAATATTTGTCAGCAAAGTAAGATTTTTGCCATGCTATTTATCCATTAGATATGCTAATGCTTTACAACGATCGCCTTCTTTTATAAATACTATTTTAATATTATTTCTGTCCAAACAGCAGTAAACATGGTTTAAAGCATAAAGTTTTTGCTTTTCTACCCTTAAAATTAGATGGCAATTTTAATCACTAATGCACATACATCATATGTATATATATATATATATATATATATATATATATATATATATATATATATATATATATATATATGCCTATTCATGTTTTTATTATATACTCTTACATACATATATTTATTTGCATACCGTTGAGCAACTGGATGCTTTTTGCTTATATTAGTGCAAATTGCAATGTTTCTAAAATAAAATAATATAATCTTATATTTCTGCTCAGCTTGAACGTAAATAAATGACATTTTTTAACTTTAAAAACGCCTTGATTGGCTGCTCTAAGATTGTCCACATGTGTAAACTGTTAATACTATTAGTATAATATTATTTGTATTATTCTATGATGTTTATGTAGTTACATTAAAATTATTGTGAAATTACATTATTTATGAAACAAACAAAAAATTCTTTCTTTGAAATAAACAAAAACAAAATGCATCTTATAAATTTGCATTTATTTTTATTATTTTTATTAAACATAAAGTTATGAAAAAAAAGGTTTTGAAAAATTTATATGGAATGCGCATACTTATTTTTATGCAGTATGGTATATCTGCCAGAAGAAGAAAATTTTCATGATACGATTTGGATTACAAATGTGAAATATAAAAACGTTAATTTTTTACTAAATAAGTTCTGAAAATTTTCATAAAGTCTATTATCTCATTAATGCACAATAAATCCAATGATGGCAAAAGTAAACATTTTAAAATTAAAAAAAAAGAAATATATTATTTTTAGTTGACGTATAGTAAAGTGGATTTAAATCTCAATCTATGTATTTTTTTTGTGAAAAATTATTGCCGACACTTCTATGGATGCAATTAATGTAGAGTTTATTTAGCAAAATCTAAAACAAATAGGGATAAAGATTATTTTTTAAAATATTTATTTAAATGAGTTTCGTCAATTGGATTATGTTAATAATTTCTAATGACAGTATAATAAATTCTTATATTGTAAAACTTTAAGTTCTCTGACTAATTGTTTTGTAGTTTGCTTTTACATGTAGTGAATCACAGTCATAGAACCTTTGAAATTAAGTGTTACTGTATATTTTGTTATATTATTAGTGTATTAAGCATAATTTAGAGTTTACCATACCACAAATATATCCTCAGATCAACCTAGTGAACAAAAAGACCCAACAGTCACAATAATTATAGCGATTATTGTGTTAGGATCGTATATAATCGTCGTAGTTATTGGCAAGTTTGTTTCATATAATTCTAACATTTAAAACGATATATTGCCAAAAATTAACCTTTTTTATGATGCTCTTTGTGATTGAATATACATCATTACTCGGTTTAAATAGTCTTTACATTATTATTTTTATAAAATTATGATCGCAATCTTAATATTAAACCTCTTCTTTATTTTTATTTTTTAATTACGCTTAAATCTGATGATAATAAATATTTTTTTTTACAGTGACTACAGTTGTAATTTGTAGAAAAGGTAAGATCTTGTTTGCTCATATTTATAAGGAGGGTTGTGTGCGGAGATGAGGGGTAGGTAAGACATTTACTCTGTAAATTTAATATCAATAGTTTTTGTAGATTATTAAAACAAAACCTCGTTTATCATTTCAAGCCAATATGTCGAAGACCCTTTTGTCGTGAGGGCTTTTCTCAAATTAATTTTGTCGGGGTTATTGACTGGGCCACTTTTTCTCATCTGGGTTTATGGGGTTTCTTTACGAAGCCATTTATTGCTTAATACAAAAGAGACAATCTATATACTACTAAAAGTCAAGTTTGTTTACATGTTTGAATATTTATTTGTTTTTTTGTTTGTCCGATCGAGTATTGTGATATGTTCGACTCTATCTGGAGAGCTGTAAAATAGTATGTAGGTAGAGAATAATTTTTTAATGCAGACAGACTGTTAATCACAAATTTATTTAAAGACGTTAATTAATTAATTGATTTATTCATACGTAGAGTAACCCATTTTTTTTTAAAATGTTAAAACATTGACTAAACTTTGTGGGAATAGTGACGTCCCTTGATGTGTTTACTTTTTGGCGGACTCCATCATAGACTTTGTGGCCCATTCAAAAGTTTAACGCGTTCTAAATCTATTTTTCTGTCGGTCATAACTTTAACAATACGTCCGTTTGCTGTATTTATTACGTTCCAACACTTATATAAATTTTCAACTGTCCTTTTCATTTAGTTTTACAATAAATTTCTCTAGGTCTAAAGATCAGCTGTCGAAGGAAAGTTATTTATAGATCTAGATCTAGAATCTAGAATCTAAAAATCTAGGTCAAATCAAAGATTTATTAGTTTTAATACAATAAAAAAACGAAACTTTAGCAAACCAGTCGTAAATCTAGAATATAGATAATTCTATCTAGATTTAGATAATAATGAGTTTCTATATACTAAACTATTTTAGACCTTTATTATTTTATATAAATCTTTGTTTGTATAGCTATGAAATATGCTAATTAGGAAATGCTGGATGCAGGGCCTATTTGCATAACTTAAGATTCATACGCGGCTTCTATACCGCTAAGTGTGCAAAATTATAGATGTAAACTCTGGATATAGCTCAGTCGTAGATCTAAAATATAGATAATTTTCTATCTAGATTTAGATAATAATGATTTTCTATATACTAAACTATTTTAGACCTTTATTATTTTATATAAATCTTTGTTTGGAATATGGTAATTTTGAAATGCTCGCTCCGGGCCTATAAGCGTAGCTAATGATTAGATCTAGATTCTAGGTCTAGCAAGAAAAACTAAACATAAGAAGACTTAAGCAAAAGAGTCGTAGAATCTAGACTAGATCTAGATAATTCTATCTAGATCTAGATAATTTCAGACCTTCTTTATTTTATATAAATCTTTGTTTGGCTAATTTAAGATAAAATTTAATTTGAAAGTTACTACTACTAGAGTTAGATCTAGATCTATGCGCGTAAGGAGACTCAAAGTATAGTATAAAACTTCACTGGTAATGTCACGAGTAAATAGCTAAGTTGGTAGTGAGGTCGGCTCTCATGCGGGTGGCACAGGTTCTAGACCAATTCGTCAATGATTTTTTTTTTTTCAATTTTTTTTTTAGATGTAAATAATAAAGTTGCCTATCTGAACTTGGTAGGATACAGGGCTGGTGAAGTAGAGTTTGTCTGTTTCTTTGTCCTAAGCATATGAAAGGATAGTGTGGTCAGAGACATGCTCGGCTGGAATGGTTTTTTAAACGATAAAAACATGTTGTCTGAGACTTGGCGGGACACTGGGCAGGTGAAGTAGAGTTGAGTAGGTCACCTGTGACGTCAGTATATGAAGGGATAGTCCGAAATCGGTGTTTTCGGTGTTTTTAAAAGATAAAAAATAAATTTTTGAAAGTGGGGTCTGTTTTTTTGTGACGATAAGTGACACTGCAGTAGCGTAGCGAGGAGGGGGGGGGCGGGGGAGGGGAGGCAGGGGGGGGAAGGAAATGTGGAGGGGGGAAGGGGGGGGCGGGGGGGGGGCGACATATGTTGGGGCGCCAAAATGGTTTGGAAAAATAAATTGAAAGGTTGAGTGGGGTTCAAATGGAAAGTTTGAGTGGGGGGGGGGTGCACATCAAAAGTTTGAGGGGGGGGGGGGGGTTGAAAATCGAAATCTTGGGGGGGGGGGTGTTAAAATCGAAAAGTTTGTCCCCGGGCGCCGGGAAGGGTCGCTATGCCACTGAGTGACAGACGTGATGTTTTTTGATGGATGACCCCCGAAACCCACAGTTATCCAACGGATGACGGGTATTCTAGTTAATAATAACATTCTCATCCGATAATGATTAGATGTGCAAAACTTTAAAATGGCTTCGGACGTACGAGGCGTATTATTTGTAAGGTTATGAAAGCAACCTTTTAAATAATAGTTTGTAAAATATGGTAAATAAAGGTCCAAACATTTCGACTGTATAGTTAGCATTTGTATTTTTGAGCTGCTATATTTTTTGTTTATTGTTTATATATATAATCTGGTGGTTAGTATAAATAAAATATACAAATAGAACATTTTTAGGCCGTTACTATTGATCTATGACTATTATATTGTATATCCTGATGTTCATTACACCAACGCAGACCTTCATAAAAAAGAAATTAATTCAATATAGGTTTTATGTTAATAATACATAACACATCGTCCTTTGGAATCTCCGTAATTTAGTACTTTATTTAACGTATGTACAGAGTAGCGTGTATATTTCCAGTAGGTCGAGGCTTTATCTAAAAACTATTGCATTACACGTCTCAGAATGGTTTCCCAAACCCAAAACAGTTTCCGTTGTTTGAGTTTCAGTAGTTTTCAACATATTCCAACTTTGTAATTAGTCATAAATCAATCAGATATTGTAATCAAACAAATAGTAATTTTTTTAACAAAGTTGAATTAACTGTAATATATTTCTATAAATATTGTCAAACCTAAGTCGAAATTTGATCTGTTTTAACTTCATGGTTATGGATCACAGAAGTAGCAAGCTGTTGTCAAAATAGTAGGCCTACTTTTTCGGTTTGTATTGATTTATGATCGTTAAACTGTATGAAAATGTAGAGCCCAGAAAGTAGGATACTCAGATATAAATGTTTATTTTAAAGAAATAGTATGTTTTGTGTAATATATGACAAAAATACAAAGATATCAATTATAAAGGTGCTGATAAGATCAATTTACAATTTTCATTTTTGTTTAATAGGATGCTTTTTACGAAGATGCCCGCTGTTCCACTAAATCTGAGGATAACAACCTAGGAAAAAGTAATAGGGCTGGTAAGTAGGTCACCAACCAGTACTACGCCTCAATAAAACCTGTATGAGCCATAGATCTGGTTGGTGACCTAATTACCAGCCCTATTGCCAGCAAACACCTTGCGTCTAAAATGGTGTCTATAAATAGCCTATATACCTGCTGCTAAATAAAGGCGCGATGAAGGATATTTAAGTAAACAAGTCTACACAACAGTGAACCATCTCTTGTTTAATAGTAAGATTTAAAGGCAACATAATCAAATACTATGTGTGTTTTAAGGCAGGAAAACAACCTTGAAGAAATAGGTCAAGAATCGTTCTTTTTACATTTTGTATACCAAGCCTACCAGTGTGTATGGAATGGCATTTCGAAAATACAAATAATGTTACATATGTATTTTGATACAAACAATTTGAGTAATAAAAAGTAAAAAAAAAAATATTGCTTCAAGTTTTTAATATTACACAACCATATTTATATTTATTTACACACATTATACGTGTATACTTCGCATAGCAACAAACATAATACTTTATGAATAATATCTGCTGCCATCTAAGATGAAATGAATTTAATTTCAACTGTAAATTCAACAATCCACTAACATTTGTATTTTGTAATTTACAAGATCGTAGCATAAAATATTTCAAACAATGTTTACCAGAAACCGTCGCGTGTGTTTATTCAGCAAAAACTGCAAACTAGGTTAGCTGTGAATCAAGTACCTACACCATCGAAATGATAATAATTTATCATAGGCAATTTTTTTTTCTACGTACCTCAGTTAAAAACTAACATTGGAGGAAAACCAATATCAAAGAAAGTTGCAACATTTACCTAGATTTGGAGGACTGTAACATGAATAGAACAAATGTCCTATCAACATTTTCTAAAAACCTGCCCTAATTAGTTCTAAGCAATATATATATATATGTATGTATGTATGTATATATATATATATATATATATATATATATATATATATATGTGTGTGTGTGTGTGTGTGTGTGTGTGTGCTAGCATCTGGTTACAAATCTTTAGGTTTTGTGAACGTTATTTATTTATTACAACCTAGCACAATCTTTGTATTTAAATAAGTTTGTAAGTCTGCTATATTTCCTCTTGCATAATATAACGCTATATAACATCGCTTCAGTATTCTTAACAATCAGATCATATAAATACTCGACGCTACTGCTTTGAAATGAAACAAAACTAACTATTCCTAAGTATATTCACTATATAAATGTAGCGGCTGAATGTTTAACATCCATGTATGGTTTACTGCCCTGAACGTTTGAACCAGGAAATAAATAGTTTGTGTGACTTTGTAAGCTATAACGATACATTGTACTCTTCTTCTTATTTACATCCGGCCAGACTTTGACTTTCGTCTATAATGAGTGCTGAGTATCTTGATGAATTTTATCTAACAAAAATCAACTTGAACCTTTTGATAAAGAGGGCCCAGTCCCATATTTATGCTTGTTTTGGCAAATGTAATAAAATACTCCCTCTGTTTAAAAAGAACTGTAATGAAACTCAATAATTAGCAACAGGGGCGTAGCGAGGGGGGGGGGGGGGGGGGGGGGGGCGGGGGGTGCGGACCGCACCGGGTGACACAATTTAGGGGGGTGACACCAAGGCAAAAAATAGCAGAATATATAGAGAAAAATTTAAGGGGGGGGGTGCAAATAGAAAGTTTGAGGGGTGGGGGTGCAAATCGAAAACTTGAGGGTGGGGGGTGCAAATCGAAAATTTGAAAGTTTGTCCCCGGTAAGGGTCGCTACGCTTCTGGGGGGGGGATGACCGCACCGGTTGACACCCGACCTCGCTACGCCACTGATTAGAAAAACACGGAGTGCTTATATTAAAAAAAGAATGTAACTATGACTTCATATTTATTGCATGTTATTCTGTCAAGAACAATAACTCAATATTTACACATTTATTCTTTATTCTTCAGTTTATATCGAATTGTCTCCCTCCTTCATTTTTTAATAGCTTAACGGATTTTTAGATAGATTTGATTGGTTTAGACACAATTTACATTACAAAATACAGTATTTCTATTTATAGTGTAAAATACAAGTTAAACAAAAGTAGAATTTTTTTTTCCTTGAGTTTTAAAACGATAACTAGAATGCGAGCGCTTCTATTACACTTAATACCATGTTAATATATTAAAATAAGTGACAATCAAAACATTAAAAATGTGTGTTTGATATGTTTCGATATTTATTTAAGAAGAACAGCCATAATTTTTTTCCAATTTTAGATGAAAACTTATTACGTATTGAGAGCAAGAACTTGTATTTCAATTTATTTTCCTAAATTAAATGTTTGTAAAATTTAAATAAAAGTTAAAATTTTATATTACAACATTTATACGATACACATACATGTAGTTTTCATTTAATCTAATAATATTTTATTTCTCATTATAAGAGAATATAGTATATATTTGAGATGTTTTTGAATCGCACAAAATTGTAAATATCATTTATGCTTCTAAACAACCCATTGCAGTATTCGATTTAAATATATTTACAGTAATATTTAAATAACTAAACAACATAATTTAACTAAACAACATAATAATTTCAACGTAAAAAATACACTTGACGTTAAATCTAACAGTAAAATTATCATATCCGCCAATATTTGTTGGTAAAACTATTAGATAAGTAGTCATAAAAAATAACTCTAAACTGGATGTTAAATGTCGGAGAAGGGGAGGGGGTGCACAAAGCAAACGAGACAGAAATAGTTCATTTTCAAATATATTTTTTTTAATTACTACAGATAAAGGGGGATAATGTGCGAAGCAGCAGGCGCATCCACCTATGTTTCCGTACCGTGAGTCAGGTACCCAGAAGATTTGCATGGATTCAGAGACGGTGCCCGCAATCCGAACTCAGGACTTTTGGGTTAGAACCCGGGAGCTCAACTATCGACCACTCCGTCCCGTATAAAATATAAATTGTACTTTAAATTAAAAGCTAGAACATGTGATTTTAAAATTGCATTTCGTACCATATATAAAAAAACATCAAACGAAATATAATAATACATCTGTTAATGTCCTGTTTACATATCGTCGTCCATATGGTAGTGTATCTAGGGTTTCCGAGAGCGCTGCTTTACGTCCTAATACCTAGGCGGTCGCTGCATTGTGTTTTCTCAATATTGCTGTACAGTAACCTCATGATAAATAGCAAATAAAATATTAGACGATTATCCACTAGTTAATTAGAGTAATACCGTTTTACTACTCCTACAAATATACACCACGTCGTATACATTTAGCGGTATGCAATGAACGTTTCTGCAAAGAGTTCCTACTAAACGTATAGGCCTACATGTTTAAGCAGACATTAAGCCCTACATAAAACTGCGGTCCATTTTTGCAGTAGAAAATATATTCTGCAGTGACGTTTTGAACCAGGAAGTTAATTAAAAAGGATTTTGTGTACGTAATGTAGCAGTACGGTTTACAGATGACGAGGAATTTATCATAGAGATTTTGCCATGCTTAATATATCTTTTGTGTTAGAGAATTTATCCGTCCTTCTATGATGAGTGTTAACTATCTGGTTGACATTTTAATCAAGGTTGAAAACAACACGCTTTTACGCTGAACAGTATTATCTAATATTTTTGCATGCCGACATTTTAAAAACAAATGTTATTTATATCATGAAATAAAATATTAAAATAGTACAACAACAAAAAATAGTAATTCAACGAATTTTTTTTTTAATAATTGTAAAGAAAAATTTTAACCTTCTGTTTAAAAGAATACTGCCATGGAAAGAATCATATATACAGAAAAATATAACTTTATATTCAATACTTGAGCACATACAGCTTATAATGAATATATTCCCAAAACTTAACGTAAGTGTTTGTGTTATGCTGTGTAGGAAATATGTCTATTCAGGTAAGTAGAATTTTAATTAATTCACTTCCTTGTCTACTTCTAACACATGAAGTTGAATACATGTGTAGTTAAAGTGACACTGCTAAGTTATATATCAGTCGAACTAAAATCACATAAAGACTAGAGGAATATTGATTTATTTATTTGTTGATCAACACTTCAAATATGGATTATGATGTAAACAAAGTGGCTATTCAATCATTTGAAATTTAAAACTCGGTTGCTCGAAGGTATGGTTGAATATTAATAAATTGAATAAGATGCTTAGATTAGTCATATGATAGCACGCATTATTATATCAAGAAAGCTGGTTATAATTAATCCATTGTTTTAATGTATTATTTAGCATTATCTGGCGTCCTATTTTTATTAAGTGAGTAATAACAATGAACCATAACTACGAAACTAAAATTAAGAAGTCAAACTCAGTAAATAAACTTTCTTAAACCACATGTAAGTTAAAAGATAAATCACGCTAGGAATACACATAGAATGAGCGAAGCCCAAGGCATTAAACACCATGATTACAGACGACGTAATTGTTGTAGAATAAATACTTGCCTATTTAACAATATGTGTAAGTTTCAATATCGCCAGTCAGTGCGATCTGGGTCAAGTAGACAAGGCTTTTAATGTTCCAGCACACTAGATCGCTACATACATTTCTTTACGGCACTCATGCTATAGTAAGAACGTCTTCCATTCTTTAGAAAAATCAAATAGCTATACAGTAATATCTTTGTGCTTAACGTCTTGACTTTTTATGGTCAACATTTTAAGTTATAGTAAGGTCTTTAAATAGTTAGCTGTAACAACCCCGAAACTTATTAGATCTGGATAATTTAATGTGTGAAAAATAATAATAATCTGTTTCATAATACAAAGGTCATTTTGATTTTGATTTATTTTTTTGATATGGAAAAATATAATAAAAGTGTCCTCATTTAGGATTTAGAAACTTATATCAAGTGTGAGAATGCTAGCAGACAAGACAATACTATTCAGCATATTTCTCATAAATCTATTCTTAACAACATGTAAGTACACATTATTTAACTGATTTAAAAGTAATGGTTTATAACAAGAAACGAAATGACAAAATATATTTATTAAATCAAGCATTTGTTCATAAAATAATTATATTTTAACACGTTTTTCTTAACTCAGCTTCGCGTTTGTTTGTTTGTTTGTGGGTTTGTTGTTAAAATTGACAACGAAAATTAGCCCACTTCTGATTGCTCTAGAGATCTGAAATTTGGAATGCAGGCTATTTTCGCCTAACAATTTCAGATGCAATCATAAAAACTAGCAATTAGATACCTAAATTAGCTTAAGTAAATTACGCCCCAAGGACCATAAAATCGAGGACATGATTTCTAAACATACCGACAAGACTTCGGCCCCAATCGATGTGAGCGCGCTGGCCGTGATCGTATAGTGGTTAGTACTTCGCGTTGTGGCCGCGACAACCCAGGTTCAAAAAACGTTTTTTGTCAGTCATCACAAGAACCTGCACAGCTCGAGGAAGCACAAAAGAAAAAATTATTTTCTACTTTTTAGTCCACAAAAAAAAACGTGGTTTTTTAAAAAGTTTTTTTTAAAGTATTTTATTGTTCAATGGAATTTAAGGCTTCAGCGTTTTACTAATAATAACAGATGTATATGGGAATCGTATCTGAATAAAGTATATATATGTTTATATATATATATATATATATATATATATATATATATATATATATATATATATATATATATATATATGTATATATATATATATATATATATATATATATATATATATATATATATATATATATATATATATATATATATATAATATTATATTTTACAGATTGCACTGATGTTATATGTGAACCTGCTGAAATAGAAACGAATCACACAATTAGCTGCAGCAATTCAGCAGTTAATAATAGCATATCGTGGTATAAGTTTATTAATTCTATCGAAGTTATCGTATCTGAATGCTACAAAAACACAGGGTGTCGAACATCATTTGATTGGCTCTTGTCTGCAAAAATAGAATTCACCAACAACAAGTTTATTAGTACATTACTTATGTATAATGTTCGTCAGGGACCGAATGCATATTACGCTTGCAGTATTGATTTTCAACGTTATGTAAATGTCTGCAATCCCTTAGAGTTCTACAGTAAGTAAGATAAATTATTGATCTATAATATGAAACTATCTATACTCCCATACAGATAGTTTAAAAAATATGCATTTTTCTTAGCAAAGTACGTTAGGTTAACTAATTGAATTAATTAAAATGTAGATACATTATTTAAATTTGCGAAGTTCCTAATTTGATAATCCAACTACACTATTAGTCTTTACGCTATCAATCCATCAATCAAACAATTGTCCTTAAATCCGTAGGTCAGTTGGGACACAACGTTTGATTTTCCCATTCTTGTCTTTTGTCATTTATTGCCCCAAGTGATTCGGTAACCGACAGCCCAGTCTATACAGTGTATTTTGTAAAACGCTGTTTAGGAAACTGTTTGCATTTAAATTTAAAACCATATTTTTTTTTATTAACACACGATTATTAAACTTACATGTTCATACATTTAAAATAATGCATCGTTAACGCGTGTATAGATATTTTAGATTATAAAAATTAATACATCATAAAAACATTAAATGTTTTAAATCATCTAATGGCATGTGTAAGTTAACATTCTTACTTCTACACAATATTTTTTTTTACTTCTAAAAATAATTGTTTTATTTCGAGATTATGTATAACTAAAATATGTGTTTGTTTCCTTTGAACTTGCAGGCAAACCAGAAGGACTACAATGTAACGAGCCACGAAATGTCAATGACAAGAACGAAATTTATATCTTTTGTAGTATTAGCAAAGTCTATCCTTCGGCAAAAATGTCGCTTAAATTTTTACAGTTTGTAAGTATTTACATCTTCCAGTTATCTTAAAATTGAATACACATCGGATGCAAAAACTCAAATATTTAACGATGAATAAATTTCGTTTTATAGGTTTTTTTTGCGCGTATCGCTCTAAATATAAATATTTCAAAATCTATTGATAATGCTTTAATTTATAATTTAGTAAACGTTGAATATTACACATTTAACATGCTTACATCTGATTTACAAAATTGTCATAGTTAAGGTTAGTGTATCAATGTACTATGTTTTTGCTTTACAGGAGAAAATAGTCGCCTGTGTGAATGAGACAAACTCAACAGGAGTCATTACTTGTCAAGACTATATTTCTGTGGTGAATTTAAAACCAGGCATAAACTTCATTGATATGTTGGTCTATCCTAATGTTTCTGGTGGGGAAAAATATGGCGTTAAACAACGGTTGAATAAAACACTAAGTAAGAATATGCTATTTTTAATTATGCCGTTACAAAAGTTTATTTAATACATTTTGAGAAGTATGAATGCAATTTACACGTACCAAAATAAATGTTATAATATTTGACAACATCATTGGAATAAAAAATTAGCGAGGGTTACCTTTCTTTTCACATGCGATGTTGCAAACAGACTAATGGTATTCAAATGTGTATTTATCATTAATAAACAGAGTAGATTTTTAGTTGTACTGTTTCCAGCACATAGGAATTCATACTGTCAAATGCAGCAATCATTATAAGAATAGTGTAGTGTACTTAGTCTTGAAGATTGTTTAGGCATATCTTAATAACAAGACAGCCCACCTTCTCTGGACGATGTTTAAAAAATATAAAATGCATATATAAAATATATACTTTATCCAGTGTTCAACCCCCTAACCCTGAAAATAAAATGCGTCCTTCAGAATGTTTCAAGTGTCCACCCCCCCCCCCCCCACCATCACCCCCTACCTTCCGAGTAATGTCGTCTTAAAGAAACACTACTTACTCTCCCTCATAATAGTCAGCGTATTATTTTAATGATTGTGAAACATATTGATGTACCGACATCGGAAATTCAGAGATATATCAACAATGTGGCATGGTTATCTTTATGCAACTTGCGTGTTAGGCAAAGCCAGTCTTCCACCTTTATAACTAAGGGTGTATACGTTTTATAAACATTAGGCCCACACTATGAGCAAACGATGTGTTAAGCACTAGCTATATATATATATATATATATATATATATATATATATATATATATATATATATATATATATATATATATATATATATATATATACATATTGTATATATTCAAAAATCTTCAGCTTTCCCGCAGGCATCTCTGAGTGCAGATTGCTTGCAGATTTTAAATGTAACCAAAGGCTACGTCAAACAAGGGGACGTGGCTAACTGTACGTGTTATATCAAGACTCAGGGAGACCCACCTGGAAGTCTACAGTGGTACTACAGTAATGGCACAGCAATACAAAACATCAAACTTAGTGATACAGCTACGTTGCAAGTGAGATTTAACGATAGCAGTAAGTATAGATCTAGCTAAAAAGAGATGCAATAAATACCTAGTAAAACACAATGTAATATTCAAATAGATTCAAAACCGTATTAGGCTTACATTTTTATAATACAATAATTCAATCATCAAAGGAAATCAAAGACTTAACATTTTTTAATGTGAATATTAAAACGGTTAGAATATTGAATTATATTTTTTCTAAAACTATTTAATTATATTCATCCAGATACAAACAAAAGCTATACGTGCACGGCGTACTCGGCTTTAGGAACAGACGATGGTGGCTTAGATTTTACAGTTCAAAATTCATGTACGTATGGTAATGGTGTAATAAGGAAAGCTTTATAAACGATCATGTATGAAATTATATCATACCTATTAAAAGTGTCCAAAGTTTTAAAAAACGTATAATTTCAATGTGCGTAGCATGTGTATTATCTTTCTATATTTGGTGACATATCTTCTCCAAATAATATGAATTGCGTTCATTATTGTTTATCTACAGATGGTCCGGATTATGTTGCATTATTTACAACTGACAGCTCGTCTGTGTATGACGCGTGCACTGGTAGCATTAATGTCAACTTCATGTGTTCCATTTTTAAACAAAGTGTGGCACCTGAGCCGACTGTATCTATAAGTCTACTTAATGGTGAAATGCTTGTCTTGAACACAAATCACAATTCTACCCATTACATTTACAAATCATCATACAAACCGAAAAGTTCCGGATATTTTACCTTTAGGTGTAAGGCCATGAACTCAATCTTTAATGAATTGGAAAACGTTGGAACTGCAACCATTTTTATTGCAGGTATTTAGATATATCATTTATTTTTCATGATTACATAATAGACTTTACTATTTTAATTTTTCAAGTATTAGTAAACACAAATTTCGCAATAAGATTTAGTTGCACAAGCCGAGTATCATAGATCAATTTGAAAACCTATATAAATAATATTTGTTTCCTGCAGGTCCGCCATCAAAACCACCTAATATAATATTGGGAAAGTCACAGTTGATTGAAAGTGGTGGCACGATTGGTCCAATAAAAGAAGGTTCTAGCCTGGAGATTATGTGTCAAGTGGAGGGAGGATTCCCTAACAGCTACACAATGACCGTGTCGTGTACAGAAAGTTACTCTAACTCCACGATAAACAACAGTGGTGTCAGCTTGTTACTGAGAAAGGTTAGCAGAACTTTCAATGGCATAAGGTGTACTTGTAAAGCTTTGCATGTAACATCTTGTTTCACAAATAATACATCCAGTGCAAATCTTAATATTACATGTACGTTTATTTATTTATTTATTTATTTATTTAATTTTATCTTTTTCTTAAGATCGAGTCAAGTTATTTATTAGAAACTAGTGGCTCTTTAATATAGTTCAGTACTTTAAAACTATGCATCAGCTATTAAGAATCGAAGTATGTGTACATTATAATACTTGCTAAAATTAAAGTTTCAGTTCTCATAATTATAATAAATTATACAAATGTTGTATCTTACAGATCAAGCGGTAATACAACAATTTACTGCAAATTCTAATACTGACAATCTCACAGTTTCAAACAATACTCAAGTTACTTTCTCATGTATCGTCGATAGTAATCCACCACCCATTGTTCAAATTTTAAGGGAATTAACTGTACACAACCTAACAAAACGAATGTACTGTGAGGATAGTGGAGAATACATATGTAAAGCCCATAACACTGAATTTATACAGGCAGATCAAAGGTCACTTATAGTATATATTCTATGTAAGCCACTTTTGTTAAAATCATAGAAATGCTGTTTTTTTTTAAATTTTATTTTGGTTAAAACGTAACTGTTCTTTAATATTGACATTTAATATTATTTTCACAAGAGTAAGAAAATGAAAAATAAAAGGCATTTTGTATTTTATATTATACATTGATAACCGTTTAATTAGCTTTATTGAATACACTAATAATTTTTTATATTTAATTTCCAGGCCAATTACAGCTGCGTAACAATGCTTATAACAATTCAGCCTTTATGGTGTTGTATGGACACAATGCGATAATTGAAATTGATGTTTTTGGTTTTCCCAATCCTATAAGTTATTCTTTATATAAAATAGAATTCGGAAAGGAAACCGAGAATTCCAACACATATATATTTGGCTTAGTAAGCAAAATGTATACTTTTGAATATAAAAATATGGTGTTGCCTTATGGAAGGGTAACTTTAACTCTATACAATATAACAACAGAAGACTTCACAAACTATACACTGAGCTTATCTAATGGTATTGGGGATGGACTCTGGTACAGTTTTATTTTAATACAAGGTAGGCGAACAATTTAATTCATATTTATATAAAATTACCTTGACATATTGATAAAATAGGTTAATGATCATGATATTTAAATTCTGGGCTTTGCCCTTTGGGATAACAACATTAGCTTACTCAGTTAGTTTTTCATCATTAACAAACTTCCCACAGCTGAAAATGTTACTATGTTTTTACAAAAAACAAGTCATCAAGATATTTACTATCAATGCATTTTTTTTCAGTAGATAATAAAACAAATTATACTGACGTAATTGCAGCTGCTGTCGGAGGTGTATTAGCAAGTGTCATCTGTATTGCTTTCATTATTTTTATTCTCTTAAGACGTAGGTTGCTAATTCTTTAGTTTTTTATCCACTTGAATCTTTAGTACATAATTACATTAATACTTAACATAAAAAATATGTTATACGACTACTACAGGTAAACATTTGCTCAAGTGTACACGAGAAAATAATTGGTGAGTGAAAGAAATGTATAGATACAGTCTATGTGTAAACAAACGTTATTAAATATATATGTATTTGCATATATATATATATATATATATATATATATATATATATATATATATATATATATATATATATATATAGGCCTATATATTTATATTAATATATACAAATATATATACATGTATACATATATACGTATATGTATATGTATATATATATATATATATATATATATATAGCTTATAAAATTGTTTTATATGAAATTTAAAATATGTCATATTAAAAAAAAACTGTATTTGACTTTGTATTTTCAAATACTATTTACATTGGTCAAGAACGATAACTCAATAATTACACACTTAATTATTTAATCGTTAGTTTATAGCTGATTGTCCCCCTTCGCTTGTCAAGTAATCTAATTGCTTAAAGAATGTATGTAGTTTTGGTTGTTTTAGATAAAATCCACATGCCATCATGATTTATTTCTTTTAACAGTATGAAATGCAAGCAAAACAAAGGTAATCTTTTTTTTTTCGTTTCTTGAGTTTCAATACGAAAACTAGATTAAAAGCGCTTCCATTAAACTTAATTGATTACAATTCTCTATGTTTATAATGCTTATTTTAAAGAGCAGCCATTTCAATTATTTTCCAGTGTTAGTTAATATTGAGCCCAACAATGTACATTTTAATGTTTTCCTAAATTGTGTATTATTTTTAAAATGTAAAGTCTTATTTTATAACTTATATCCGATAAACAGCCAACGCCAGAAACAACCTCTATGATTCACCTATCCCAGAGCCAAATGCAGAAAATGCATCGGGTGTGTCTATCACATGTTACTTACTTTTAAAAGCAATTTAACATTCCAAAATCTAAATTAAATTATTTTAAAAATAAATAATAATAATTTAAATAATTTTATATACAATTTTAGTTTGCTATTTATGCATGCACTAAATAAAAATTTCGATTAAAGAACGAGTTCGAGATAAATAAGATTTATTTTTAAAGCAGATACATGTACATAGGAAAAATACTCATAGGTTGATAAATACATTTTTAATATTGTTATAATGTTATTCCGTGTTTAACACTCTTTCAAATCCCAGTCATGTTTAAAAAAAATGTAAAGTCAATGAATGCCTTGTATATTGTATGAATGTTTTAAGACACAAGTGATATGCTATCTTAAAAATGGTAAAAGAAGTTAAACGTTTAAATATTGGTAAATTAGTATATTTTATTTTTTCATTTTTATTTTGAGAGTGATTTTACTTTTGTTGAAAAAAAAATCATATGTAAAATAAATTAATGAGACAAGTGAAAGAAGAGTAATGTCTTATTTGAAAAATATATTAACTCTAATAAGCAGAGACGAAATGTGTATAAATTTCAAAACGTAAGTAAATTCATTTTTTGCTGATAGTGCCTAGTTTTGTAATTTTTTTTTAGTCATGTAAGTTTCACTCCACAAAATCGTTGGTAAACTAACTAGATGACCATGAGTTGAAGACGCTACACATATATGAAAATTCAATAACATGTTTATTAAAGATATGCTTAAACATATTCTGACAATCTTTAATTTTCTTTGGAGACATACTTAAAAGCAATCGTACGGGTTATGATCCAAGCAGGATTATGTATGTTAACATTCTCTCCTTTTTATGAAAACTGGGTCTTCGACAAATTCCCAAATGAACACTTGCCCAAATGCGACAAACGCCCGAATGGACACTTGCTCGAATGCAAAAAGCCAGAATAGACACCTGCACTAATACGACAACTGCCCGAAAGCTACTTGTCTTTCGGGAAAACGTCCGTAAAAACTAAGTGCATTTTATTTTTTAACTTCCTCGCACACAAGAACCTTGTGTCCATATTTACTGCATAATGTATCCAGTATATTCAGATACATTACTGCAGTGTACGTTAGAGAAATGTGAGTTTTAGTTTTACTACATCGTAGACTGAATATTTTATTTTATATCGGTAACGAGTTTTCGTATAAATCTCATAGTACATATTATTTTCAGATTTAAAATGTCACAAAAGAATTATTTAAGCTTGCGATTATTTTTAACTTAGAGAGTAATTTATTGTCAAGTATAAACTTCAATCATTATTTAATGTAATAAGCTACTTTACTATAAGTTTAAAAGTAATCTACAGTTAATTGGAAAAGTGAAAACAAAATACCTTAACCATTATTGTATGTATTTAAATATCTTTATTTACATAAATAATAAACGAAAGTCATAATAATTCAACGTTTAGAATATAAACAAAAATGTAACGTGATTAATAATAATATACACCTGATTTGTCTAATAATTTATTAAATTCAACATTTTTTTAAACAGTGAAATAATCATAACCACCATTTATAGCAGTCAACAATCGTTGGTAATTGTGATTGAATAAGGAGCAATTTAAAGAAATTTCTAAACTGGATATTGATGGGCGCAGGATGCCCTAGACAAATGGGACAGAAGTCTTATTCGATGAACACGGCATACAGGGGGATAGTGTGGTAAGCTTATTGCGCTTCCGCCATTGTTTCCATACCGTGAGTCAGGTACCATTAAGATCTGTATGGATTCAGGGTGGGGCCCACAATCGGACCTGTGAACTTTTGAGTAAGAAGCCGTGAACAAAACCCCGTACCGTATAAGGTATAAACTGTACTTTAAATTCTAAGCTCGAACATGCGATTTTAAAATTGAAATACGTACCATATTTACAAAAAAACTAGCATCAAGCGAAATATAATATTACATCTATTAATGTCATGTTTACATAAAAAAATAAGGACATACGTTATAGTTTTCCTAATCCTATACACACATAGAAACCATATAAGTTACTCACATACTTTAATAATTTCGATAATGCTCTCATACAAAGTTTATAAATATTGTAAAAAATAAAAATTCAACTTTATTTCAGATATGCGACGATATAAGACATTGTAAAACAATACTTGAAGAATAACTAAACGAACAGAAAGTCCATAACAAAGGCATCCATGTGCTTAATTTAACGGTTAGCTCGTACAATAATACAATAAATCAACCAATTTGTGATCAAAAAGTTAGAAAATTAAATATTTGTAAGTCCAATATTTACATATTTTACACTGTTCTTTAAAATAACTTGATCATAACGATGCGCTGCGAATGAAAGTAGAATATTTTTTTTATATACAATTTTGTATCAAATTTAGAAAACAATATATTAAAGTTACATATACTTAAAATAAGCTGGCCAGAATAAGTAACGAATACAGAGCTGTTGCAAAATGCAAAAAGCAAAAGCCAATATATAAGGATTTCAAGCCCCGTAAATGGGGATGGATTAGATACACGCTAAATGAGAGGAAGATAATAAACAGTAAAAAATGCTACGGACTGGAATCCCCATGGAAAAAGGAAAGTGGGCCGGCCAAATAGATCATAGAAAAGAACGGTTCAGGAAGCGACTAAGACAGCTGGGCTCACATGGGCTAAAACGAGTCCAGTAAAAGAGTGTAACTGCAGCCCTTTGCTCCCCAAGAGCCACAAAGGAAAAATAATATGAATGAATGACTTGTTTTTGTATCGGATTTTACTATTATGAAATTGCCCTGTATTTGTAGTTGATATTTATATCAATATTTAAGTACATACACTTACCAACAGACTCCTGTGAAGTATCGATTTTATCGTACACGGAAGGAAGGTCCACTTGATCGTAATTTGAAACGGTTTCTGTAATATTTATATATATATATATGTATATATATATATATATATATATATATATATATATATATATATATATATATATATATATATATATATATATATATATATATACATATAATATACATACATTTATTCTGTGATACTTGCAATAAAATATGTATGCAGCTTTTAGTTGTAATTACTTTATTATCTGTTTGAATCCATACTTCCAGTTAAGTAATATAATTAAATAGAATTCACGCCGCTTTCTTAAAATGATTTTCTA